GGGGATTCTAGGCAGGGGCTCTACCACTGAGCCACACCCCAGCCCCTCACTGGGGGATTCTAGGCAGGGGCTCTACCACTGAGCCACACCCCAGCTCCTCACTGGGGGATTCTAGGCAGGTGCTGTTCTGTTAAGACATACCTCCAGGTTCAGGGACCCCTTTGTTGCATCTTCTGATAAAACTCTGTGCCAGTATCACTCAAGTAAGACCCCCCCCCCCCCCCCCCGCCTCGTCACAGCCTCCATCCCCGGCTTGCAGCTCTCCCAGCAGCTAAATCATCATGGCCCGTCATCCGCTATTCTAAGGAGTGACTTGTGATGTGTGAGTGCTTTACAGAAGGGTAGCCACACCCTGCCTTATTGACTGTGCAGGCAGCGGGTGAGTGACTGTAGCATACTTCGGTCACCGGGGAACCTGTGGTGTCCTCATCAAACCGGTTCTGTAGAGAGGTTTCAGTTGGGGACCGTTGCTGGCCAGCGGCCACCAGTCTCATTGCTTTTCAATCCCAGCTCTCCAAGCGGCTCCTGGGATTTTGTGACTGACCCAAAAAACCTCCTCTCAATAAATCCCCTTGTATTCCTGAGGTGGCTTTTGTTACTTATTATTATTAGTTACTTATCTGTGAGTCAAGCTTTCCGGCACCCTTCCCGTGGGACACCGATTCTCTACAATCTCAGCTTCGACGCCCCCTCTTCCGGGAAGCCTCCCTTGATTACCCAGGTCAGGCAAGGCACCTCCCTCTGGCTTCCTACAGTCCCCCGCTGGCCCCTTCCAAAGCAACTGTGCCCATCTTAGGCCAGCCCAGGCCTGCCTCCTCCAGTGTAGTGTGGGCACATGGTACAATGGCCCAGGGCAGGAGGGGTAAGAGGGGCTGTGGACAGATGGACACACTGACAGGGACTCAGCCATGGCTGGTTGAACTTACAGCAAATGGACCCTGATCCCTCTAGACAACGCTGGGGAATGTGGAGACCAGGGGAGAAGGGGCGAGAAGAAAGGAGGGGACCTGCCTGTGACACTGTTCATCTGCGATCCTCGCACCCAGGAGGGAGAGGCAAGGGGATGCTTTGTGGTCGAGTCTAGCCTGGGCTATATAGGGATACAGCAGGCTGTGGCCACCCAGGTCCCTGACTGCCAAAGAAACAAACAAGAGATGCTTGGATTGGGGCATCTGGTCCCAAGAGGCACAGGATGGGGGACAGGACTGGATGTGTCTTGGGCACTGGGTGTAGGACTCCATGTCTGACGGGGGAGCCTGGGGCTCCATTGGGCGGGAAGATCTCAGGGTGGAGGGGCCCAGGTTCCTGGGGGAAGGGGTGGGGGTCAGGACTGAAGACCACCCCACCCCAGGGACAAACTGCCTCCCTGCGCTGTGTGGCACTGTGTGTTTCCCTCACACGCCGGAGGATCGAAAGGCCAGGATTCAGTTTATTTCACTTTCATCATCTCTTCGAGCCCCAGGGTTCCCTTCCTCCAGTCCAGGTGCCCTGTCATGCAGAAGAAAAGAGCGGTAGAGTTTTTATTTACTTATTTATTACTTATGGTTTTTGTTTTATTTTATTTTGTGTTTCGAAACAGGGTAACTACCCTGGCTGTCCTGGATCTCACTCTGTAGACCAGGCTGGCCTCAAACTCACAGAGATCCACCTGCCTCTGCCTCCCAAGTGCTGGGATTAGAGGCATGAGCCACCACCGCCTGGCTTATTTATGGTTTTTTGTTTTGTTTTGTTTTTGCCTGGACATTTATTTATGTTTTTTTTTTTTTAAAGTAGTTTATTAGCTGGGCAGTGGTGGAACATTTGATCCCAGCACTTGGGAGGCACAGGCGGGAGTTTCTCTGAACTTGAGGCCAGCCTCATCTACAGGGTGAGTTCTAGGACAGCCAGAGAAACTCTTGTTTCGAAAGAAAAAAAAAGCAGTTTACTTTTAATTTCAGTGTCTGTGTGTGTGTGCATATGCTTGTGAGTGCAATGCCTGTGGTGGTAATCTAATTGTACTGAAATATTATTTTGATTGTATGTTAATAAATAAAGTTGTCCGGGGGTCAGAGCTATTAGAGCCATAGCAAGAGTGTGGCGGTGGTGGCACACACCTTTAATCCCATAGATCTCTGTGTGTTCAGGGATATAGCCAGCATTGGAGACATATGCCTTTAAGACCTAGGGGGCTGTACATTCAGACAGTGACGAGGCCGTCACATGTTTGGGTTTACAACCAATGAGAAGGCAGAACAATAATACTATAAAAAGACGTACAGACAGGAAGTAGCCCTCTTTCGCGAAGCTGGGACAGCAGGAGGAAGGGTGAGATTTTAGCTCTGAGCTCTGACCTCTCGGCTTTCTCTTTTACATTGTTTCTGTGTTTCTTATTTAATAAGACGGTTGGTTACATCTACAAATGCCTGAGGAGGCCAGAGGAGGAGGGTGGGTTCCCCTGGAGCTGGAGTTATAACTGTGAGCCCCCGACATGGGTGCTGGGAACAGACTAGGTCTCCCGAAAGAGCAGCGCCCCTCCTAACTGTTGAGCTCTCTCTCCCAAACCTCTGCTGTTTTTATAAAGACAGAAGGCCGCCAAAGACAGCTCAGCGGGAGTCGCCCGCAGAGGCCTGATGACTTGGGAAGGGAAGAGTCTACTCCCAGAAGTTGTCCTGTGACCGGCGACACCTCGACACCTCTGATGCTGTGGCCTGTGCCATATCCCCCACCACAAAGAAAACTCATAAATGTAATTTAAAAAGAATAAGCGTTAGAGAGGGCTGGAGGGATGGCTCAGTGGTTAGGAACACTGACTCCTCTTCCAGAGGACCCGGGTTCAATTCCCAGCACCCACATGGCAGTTTACAACTGTCTGTAACTCCAGTTCCAGGGGATCTGACACCCTCCCTTACACAGACACACATGCAGGCAAAATACCAATGCACATAAAATAAAAATAAATGATAAAAAAGAATAAGAATTAGAAGATTAATAATAATAATAATAATAATAATAATAATAATGCAAAGTCTCATGTAACCCAGGCTGACTTGGAACTCATTATCTAGCTGAGGATGACCTTGAATTCCTGATCCTCCCGAGTGCTGTGATTACAGACATCTGTCAAAGTGCTGAGGATTGAACCCAGGACTTGGTGATTGGTGATAGGGAGCACAAGGCTGGGCCCCCTCCCCCGCTTCTTTATTTTGAGACCGGATCTTGAATGCTCTGCCGACAGTGGCATCAGATTCAGTCACTTCTGGGGCAGAGCGTGGCCAGGGGAGGGAAGCGCGGCTCACCTGGCCTCTGGATCTTGGACATAACCGGGTCTGCCTAGGGCCGGCTGGAGGGTACATCCCTTCAGGAGCTCCTGTCATGGAGAGTCAGAAACCAGCAGCCCTGGGTTAGTGGAGGTCAGTGGTTTCCCTCTGCCCACCCCTCCATGGCAGCATGAAGGACTCTCTACTCACTCTGTGGCCCCTTCCCTGGCCTGGGGCCTGGCGGTGACTTCCCACAGGACCGAGGCCATTTTTGGTAAAGGAAGTGGAGCTCGGAGCCTGGGCAGGGTGAGGGTTGCCTGGAAGGAAGGAATTAGGGAATGTTTCATTTCTTTGGGCCGATGAGCCGGCTCGGTGTATAAAGGCGCTTGCCGTCAAATCACGTGACCCAGGGCCCATGCGGTGGAAGGGGAGAACTAATGTGTGCAAGCTGTCTTCTGACCTCTGTAAGTGCACTGAGGCAGAGGCACACTCACACACACACTCACTCACTCACACACATACATCACACACACACACACACACTCACACACACACACACTCACTCACACACGCACGCAACCCACTTAAGAAAAAAATCAAATCCAATCTAGGGGCTGCAGAGATGGTTCAGTGGTTAGGAGCACTGGTTGCTCTTCCAGAGGACCTGGGTTCAATTCCCAGCACCCATATGGCCGCTCACACCTGTCTGTAACTCCAGTTCCAGGGGATCCGACACCCTCACATAGACATACAGGCAGGCAAAAATACCAAAAACAAAAAACAAAAAACAAAAACAAACAAACAAAAAAATGCACATAAAATAAAAATAAAATTAAAAAAACCAACCCATAATAAGCAAACAAATAACACCCTTTTCTTCTGCATGGAAGAAACATCCCAGGCTGGGCTGTCAAGACCGCTCACTAGTAAAAGGCGCCTGTCCAGCCTGATGACCTGCAGTCACTCCTCGGAAGCCATGATGGAAAGAGAGAACTGACTCCTAAAAGTTGCCCTCTGACCTCTTCTCAGCATCCCAGAGCTTTATTCACAAACACATCAAACACACACACAGTAATAGTAAACCTTAAAAGAAAACACAAATCTCCCAAGTGGGGTGGGCATGGTGGCTGAGGCAGGAGCCTCTGAATTCTCTGAATTCTTGGTCAGCTTCGTTTCAGGACAGCCAGGGACAGAGAAACCCTGTCTCAAAAAAGCAAAACCAGCTGGGGGATGGTGGCGCACACCTTTAAACCCAGCACTCAGGAGGCAGAGGCAGGCGGATCTCTGTGAGTTCGAGGCCAGACCCATCCACAGAGCGAGTTCCAGGACAACCAGGGCTACACTGAGAAACCCCGTATTGAAAAACAAAACAAAACAAAAACAAACATCCCCAAATCAAAAACCGACAAGAACACCCCTGCCCCCTGCAAAAAACCCCAAAACCCAAAGAAAGGAAGTGGGAAGCCATCTTTGGCTACATAGCCAGTCTGAAGCAAGCCTGAACTACATGAGGCCCTGTCTCAAAAATACTCACACACTCATGCCACAGGCATTTCTGGAGCCCTGTTCTAGGCTTTGGGGACACAGCCTCGAAGGAGAAAAACATCTGTGTTCTTGCAGAACGGACATACATGGAGACATAAGAAGGTTCTTGCAGTGGGGGAGGGGAGGGAGGAGAGACCGCCCGGCAGCTCCCAAGCAAGGAGACAGCTCAGATGTTCTGAGTCCTTTCAAGAAAAGGAGAGTGACGTTGGCCAGAGCGAGGAGGGCAGCTGCAAAGGCCTCTGGGAGACTGGAATGACGGGCCAGAAGCCAAGGGCTCCCCCGTAGGAGGCGCTGTGGTGGGCGGGGCTTGCTGGCCCATTGGGAAGAGAAGGCTTGGTAGTTTAGACCCACACTAACAGGACTGGGAAAGCCGAAGGCAGAGGATCTCGAATTCAGAGCCAAGGCTTTATGTAGCAATGATCCTGCCTGGAAAGCACACACGCAAAAACGACTGTATACTAATCCTCATTACGGTAACTCCAACCCCGAACGTGGACCCATCTCATCCAGTGTCCGTGGTGGCCCTTGGTGGTAGGGACCACAGAGCATGTGGTTCATAGGCTCTGTAAACTGGAGCCAGCGATCTGCGATCTGCGTCCCACACCTAACTCCACCCCCTCCCTGTGAGCTGGGTCTCGGTGTGGCCTCTGGATACTTGGCTGTCACGGTAATGGAGTATGTGAAGAAACCATGAGCCCTCTTTAAAAGGGGGGGGACTATGGGTGTGATTTAGTGGTAAGGCCTGCCCAGAGTGCTCCAGTGAAGGGCTTGGGGGTGTGGCTCAGTGGAGTACTTTCCTAAAATACACAAAACTCTGGGTTCAATCCTTAGAACCTCAAAGATGGGAGGGGCACTGGAGAGATGGTTCAGAGATGTAGAGCCAGGTTCAGTTCCCAGCACCCACATGGTAGCTTAAGGACTGTCTGTAACTTCAATTCTAGGGGATCCATCCAACACTCTCTTCTGGGCATACACACGCACACATACATATGGGCAAAATGATCATACACTAAAATCTCTCTCTCTCTCTCTCTCTCTCTCACACACACACACACACACACACACACACACACACACACACAGAGAGAGAGAGAGAGAGAGAGAGAGAGA